TACTTTGCCTATATGGCATGAAAGTATGTTTGCTGTCATTGAAGATAGCTCTGCTCAACTTCTATTTTAAATTTGTCTTGAGATTTCTTATTGAAAAGTTTTACATCCTTTTACATCACTGAGCTTTTGTCTGGATTAAAACACAATGAAAAACCTTTCAGACAGGAACCACAGTGTATTTGCATAGTTGTATAACCCAGAAACATACCTGCCAGTGAAAAGTAGTATATCACCGTGTGATGCAAGTGAATGAATCTACATTCAGCATCAGTCTAGATGCATTTCCACAGTATTAGCAGTAGGCAAAATTTGACAAGTCTTTTTTTTTTCTTTCTCCCCTTCCTCCCCTCATCATCTTATGACTATTTTTTTTTTTTTTTATAAGTGAAAATTTGTATTTTGGACTTTTTAAGTATCTGGAAGGGAGCTGACTGTGTATTTATCAGGATTCTGGTTCACACAATATGTCCTGGTCACTTTGTATGATTGTAAGCAAGTGCTTATCCTGCTGTTCATTATAAAGCCATTCTCTTTGTATGGTTGAACTGGTACACATGTACTTGTATCAGTATAGTGCTATTATTAATTTACATTTTGATTGTGTGATTGAACAAAACTGCTCAGTGATGGCATGGTCTTTCACAGAAGAAATGTGCTTTTACTCTGATACTAATTTTCAACTATCTGTTTTGAATGAGGTTATTTCTGTGTTCTACTATTTGCTGCCATCATAGTATCGTGATTTTCCGATGTTTTCAGTGGGTTTGGTTGTAAATTTGTTTACATATGAATAAACGGAATTAGATCGTATAAAGACTTGTAAAGTTAATTTTTTATGTTGTTTTGTTTATGAACAATGCAGCTGACTATTGGCAGAAGAGAAAAGCCATGAAAGAAGCACGGAAGTCAGCCCTACTTTTGGGAAACAGCCATCTGCTTCTACAATTAATGATATTGCAAAGCAGTTTGTGATTAATTACTAAGGCATTAATTATTAAGAGTGCTAAAAATCTTAATATAGTTTGCTAGTGAAATGCTAAACATATTTCAGTGGCATCAGACATTCAGGCATAAGATCAGTGTACAACAGTTACTGTGGGAGCAACGACAGAGAAAGAATATTCTCTCTACCTTATTGGAATTCATTAATATTTGCCTGCACTATATTGTGTCACATGATTGCAAAGCCCAAATGAAGAGATACAATGAAGACTTTGTTCTGTCAGATCTTGAAAAACCTCCAGAGATGGATGACTCCACCTCTCTGGGCAGCCATCTCTAATGCTTGCACTCAAAATATAACACTTGCAGGTATTGCAACAATACTTTTACGTTCCCCCTTGAAGACTTCTCTTCTCTAGGCTGAACAAGCCCGCTTTCCTCTGCTACTTCTTGGAGGGCAAATACTCAAGGTCAAGCCCCCCAGCCCTTTTGGTGGACCCCTGGACTCATTCAAGTTCATCAAGTCTGTCTTGTACTGTGGGGCTTAAAACTGGATGCAGTACTCTAGACGAAGTCTAATGAATGCTGAGTAGAAGACAATAATATCTTCACTTGATCTACTTACTGTCTGTGTTCATGTTAATATAGCCCAGGATGCTATTTGCTGCCTTTGCTGCCAAGTCACAGTGCTGGCTCCTGTTAAGTTTGCTGTCCACCAAGTTCCTCAAGTCTTTTTCAGCAGAGCTGCTCCTGAAGGAGTTAGTCCCTTCCTGGTAGAGCTGCAAGGGGTTCTTCCTTCCCAGCTGCAGGACTTTGCTTTCATCTTTTGTCGGATTTCCTAAGGTGCTTGTCTGCCCATTCATCCAGTCTGTCTGGGTCCCTTTGGATAGCATCCCTGCCTTTGAGCATATTGACTTGTCTCCCAGTTTGGTGTAATCTGCAGGCCTTGTGAGCAGGCACTCTTGTCACCTCTTTCGGGTCACTGATAAAGATATTACACAGAACAGCTCCCAATATGGACCCCATGGTACTCTTTTTACTGGCTTCCAGGTAGAGCACAACCTATTAATCACTACCCTCTAAGACTGATCATAGAACTAATGTTTACCTTGCTAGTTGTCTACCCATCCAGACCACAATGTCTTAACTTCGATACAAAAATATGGGAGAGTGTCCAAAGCCTTGCTAAAGTTGAGGTAAATGACACCCACTGTTCATTCTTCATCCACAAATCTAATAATTCTGTTACAGAAGGCAGTTGGGTTAGTCAGGCATGATTTACTGGTGGTACATCCCCACTGATTGTTCCGGATTACCTTCTTCATAAGAAATGCTATCCAAGAAGACTTCACCATAATTTCCCCAGGGAGCAAATTGAGGCTGTCAATCCTGTAGTTCTCTGGTTTGTTCTTTTGGTCTTTTCTTGATGACAAGTGCAATATTTGCCTTCCTCTAGTTGTTGGGGATCTACCCATTTCCATGATTTTTTTGAAGATGGTAGGGAGACGTCTTGCAAGGACATCAGGCAGTTATCACAACACACTTGGATGCAGCCTGTTGAGTCCCATGGACTTGTATGGGTTGAGTTCTCACAAGTAAGCCCTGACTAATTCCTCACTGTTGATAGTCCTGTTGGTTGAACACTTTCATGAACCAACAGAGGTCTGAGAGACCTTGTCATTGAAGAGTAAGGCAAATACTTGTTTCCTATGTAGTTCAGATGAACTTGAATTTAAACTCAATTGCTCTGACTTTATGAAGACAGTGTGGATAGATTATTTCTATGCAGACCTTCTAATTGGGTCAATCTGTGCTATGATTTATCAAATATGACATTGTATTTTTCTAGGCAAACTATGTATCCTAAATACTTCCATTAATGGACATATATGGGAAATCTCTCTGTGGTTCATTAAGTGTGTTCATGTGACATTATTTTGCAGAGAAGCTGTGAAGTTCAAATGCTAATTTTGGTGGGACTGTTTCACAATGCACAAGTAGAATCCTCTCACATAGCTTCTATAGTGTGAATTACTGTTTTTGACTCACTAATAATGGAAAAGATGTGGGTAAATAAGTTTTTATTTACCTTACAAAAGAGTAGTATTATTAACTACAGTAAATACCATTTTTTGAGATGTGTTGTCCCACACAGGAATAGGATTTGCTGAGAATAAGTGTTCTTTATTTCCTTAGTTGAAGGCATAAAAGATATTCAGGATATTCTGGTCAGGTACTCCAGTCAAAAATACCCGTATACACTCCAGCATGTTTGGTGAAAAAACATCAGCTTCTGAGAGAAAAATCTTGAAGTTACTATAAATTATATCATGTTATTGTATTTTTAAGTAGAATTTCTCTGGGAAGGAAAATTGCAAGGAAAGTACAAACTTTCATTTCATATTATCAATACTTATCCTGTCAGACGTTGGAAAACATCCAGAATTTCAGACTATGAATATTTTTACTTGTTTATGAACAGCTTTTGGCACTGCAAACTAAGTAGTTAAAGTATTTCCCATTCAAAAACTTCTATTAATTTAACCAGTCTAAGAAATAAGAAGATAATAAAAGAAAATTTCTTCCAGTCTGAGACTTATTATTGGCTGTAAAGATAAAAGCTAAAATGTTAGAGGAACGATAGTGTCGTTTAAATGACATTGTTTAGTCCTTACACAGCTTTAATTCTGTATGGATTTGTAACAGTGATTGCTAAATCTCAAAAAGAATCTTTCATTTTTGCTTTAGTACCAAAAGTTCAGATGTTTTTTTGAACTTCGTCTGAATATCCTGTGTCTTAAATCGCAATGTTTGCCAAGCAGTCTTGTGAGAAAAGGTATTACAGAAGCTCTGGTATTGCTTGCTTTTAGGCAGCCTAGAGCTGAAGAAAAGAGAACTAATTTTGAAAAAAGAAACAGAAACAACATTGTAGTTAAGCAGAGTGAATCAAGCTTATCTTGTCCTGGTTAGAGGATCAATTCAATTTTTATTTTTTCCCAAATTAGCTTTCTAGGTTAATATCCTGATCTTACTGAATCAGGTTGTGAGGTTGGTTGGTTGGTTGATTTTTATTTTTTTTTTTATTAGTGACCTCCTTTATTGATATCTGATTTTTGATGGGTGGTTGCTCCTTCACATTCTTGAACTCATTTACTGACAATCTGAATCACAATTTCAGTTTCTTAATAAACATCTGCAAATAGGGCCTAAACCAAATGTCCTAATGAGTAATTTTGCAATACTCTTGTAAACAAAAAATTATGTGAGGTTTGTGTAATCACTTTTTTAATCTTTCTGAATCACACTGAAGAGATTTAGTCCATTTTCAAATGACTGGCAACAACAACAAAAATTCACTGGGTGTTTTCAGTGCTGTGCTGGCCCACATGGCAGCTATTGGCTGTGATGTAGAAATCTTTTAGTGGTTGTGTTTTTGTTTATTTGGACCTCATAATAAAAAGTGCTAAATCTCCTTTTAGTGATGTGGCTGAATTAGTGGAGAAAAGTGTATGAGAAGACAACCTTTCTTCCTTTTGACAGAAGGCATAACTCTATGGAAATAGTGAAACAGCCTCAGGCTGAGTCACATAATGAAGTGTCCTGTTGTCTTGCAATGATGGTGCACTGGCCTCCCTAGGCTAAGCTTTGTGTTTAAAAGCTTGGAAGAATAGTCAGTCCTAGATGGTTAGCAAAGCAAACAAGGTATGTTATGTATGCGTTGAAAATAGGGCATCTTCCATTCTCCCTTCATCCCTAACTGTGTAGGAATGAAGATGAAATTTTGACCAGAATGTATTCTCTACAAACTATGCAACAGAACATAGCATTGTATATTTTTTTCTGGTGGTGAAAGAGGTCTAAATTCTGCATTTCTTTAAGCCAAAATCAATAGAATTACTTTTGGTTTATGGCAGTATGTACAATCTGTATTTGTACTGTCTATTTTTGCTATCTTACTATGTAATATTTATGCAAATACAGATATACTTCTGTTACGCTTTAATAAATGTTTAATATAAATTTCAGTACCTTTTTTTTTTTTTTATATAATAACTTAGGATACAAAAATAGCTTCACTTGAGCGCAATATAAGAGATCTTGAAGATGAGATACAGATGTTAAAGACAAATGGAGTTCTGAATACAGAGGACCGAGAAGAAGAAATCAAACAAATAGAAGTTTACAAGAGTCACTCAAAGTTCATGAAAAATAAGGTAAGATCTATTAATAAAATAGCTTAATGCTGTTTAAATAATGGAATCAAAAGTTTTAACTTGACCCTTTTCAACACAAGCAGCTCTCAGCATGTATTTTTTTTGGTAAATCTCTACAATTCAATACTCAGTAGCTATGGAGGAGTGAAGCATTTTGGATAAATAAAAATGTGTTAATGTTTTGACTTAGGAAAAGGTAAGGAAGAGGGTATTTCACCACTTTTGCAGAGGCTACTACAATCCTGAGTCTATAACATGTTCCCTTTTCCCTTTCTTGTGCATGGTGTTTTAATGCTGGCTTTTTGTATTAGTTTGTAATTTTGTCTTGCTCCATTTTGGCACAACTTCAATTGTGCATTTTTTTCTGGATTTGATTGTAGTTTTACAGTAAGGACTGCTGTTCCATAGTTCATGCCAAATTTTAGTCTTCTAGTATTTTAAAGACTTGCAAATTGATGACTTTGTTCCTGCATAGTACCTTTCTTTTCATATTATTGTACATAGATAATTATGAATTGACCACAAGCCGATAATAAATGTGTAGTGATGTAACACATATCTTGGTATCAAGCTCACAAAACTGTATGTTTGTTGATTATTTTAAAATACATCAGAAGTAAAGCTTGATGTCTAAATTGTTGCCCCAGATGGTCTTTTTACCTCCTTTCATTTTGGTGTACTCAGGTGCTGGATAGGTAAAACTCCAAATAGTTTTTATTGTGAACTGTAATATTTCTTTTATGATAATTTTATAATTGCCTTAAAAATTGGAATAAATATATATAATATTACAGTTTGTGCTGGTTTATTCCCAGATCTCTACATTGAATGAGTTTTGTTTATGAAGAGATAAAATATCAAGTTACAGCACTCAATAAAAAGAAGAAAAATTGAAATTATGGAGACTAAAGCTGATGATCCCATTCTCAATAAATAAGTTTTGGGAGTAGTATTTTTTGGTATTATTTATAAGCTAAACTAAGATGGGGCAAAACAAGTCACAGCAGCCTGAAGTGGAAACACTGAAGAGGAAAATCAGCTATCTCATTTCTTGCAATGATGTTAAAAAATTGACCATAATGCCAGAATAAAATCTAGGCAAACAACCCTAGTAGTCATGATCATTATGAAATCTCTACTTTATTTTAAAAGTATTTTCATCCTAGTTATTTGTTTGGGTTCTTATTCTGTTTAATATTTAGGTTTTTTTGTGTATGTGAAATTCTAGGGAAATGAGATGGATTGGTTCACTTGTTCTGAACTGTTTACTTGAAGCTCTGAAAAAACTGCTTGAGAAGGAGCTGGTACTATTGCTTTAGAGGCCATGTAAAGAAAAAAATGTAGGAGTTAGTTGGCTTAAGGTGTAGTTCTCTGCCTAGCATTGTCTGTTGATGCTAAATATACTTAGCAGTGTTGCTGTTTAAGTACAAAGTTGACAATATTGGGTAGATAAATATCGTTACCACTCTGAAGGAGTTGGACAAGCTGAGATTCAGAGAAAGTATGCAGCCTGTCTGTGGTCAGAGAATGGAATGGTGTCAGCACCTTCTGGAGAATCTGAGGTCTCTGATTTTCTGTTTTCTTGCATAAATTTAGACCTTCATTATCTTTTTGACAAGATGCTTTTACTTTGTCTGAATTCCACAGTGAGTATAGCAGTAAGAAAATTCACCACTGTGTAGTACTGGATAATAAAGATTTTTTAATCTCAGAAGAGCTGTTACTGTCTCCCAGTTTGGAGACTGTAGTATCTTGTAAATTACATCACAGGATATGTTGGTGTCTTGGGATGTGGGACATATTTTTATCTTCTCCTGGCGGTGTGTGCTACAGAAGAAATGGAAGTGTTAGTGCTCATGCGAAATTAATCCAGACATATTAAAAAAAAATTAAAATTTTCAAATAATATATATTTATTCTGTTGAAAAAAGTAGCTCTAAGCTACTGAAAAGTAGCTAAAGTTCCTAAGTAGCATTATTATCAGGAAAATTATTTTGCCTATTTGAACATTGTTAATTTTAGCAGTTTTAATAATTTACAGCAAAACTCCTAATACATTTCAGAAAATCTGTTGGTATAAAAATAATTTACAAAGCCTAGTATTTTGTTAACAATTTTCTAATGTTTTTGAGAGGAAAATCTTCAGTATGTTTCTGTGGCACAGAAAGCAGATGAATGAGAAGACTGTTAAACATGCCTTGTTTTGTCACAATCTTCTGATCTTTGATAAATGCCATTCTGATGAAACTTTGTCTGTTTTCTTTCACCAGTCCTTTTCTTCCACTTAAAATTGAGATTTGCAGCAGGAGATAGTATTTTTGTCATTCATCTGAGAATCTTTAAAGGTGAAAAAGTATTTATGTAGCTGTCAGCAAATGGATCTTATTATACCTGATCTGTTGAACCTGAGATTGTTGATAAATTCTGATAAACAGGAGTCTTGACAGATGGTGAAGAGCAGAACAAAACTCTTTTCATAGTTAACAATCTTAGGTGCTATAAAGCTCTTAATACTTCACATTTATTCTTGAAGTATAACTTGTTTTAGATCTGTTCTTGATCTAAATAAATGGGAAGGTATTAAATGGAGGCCAGTACTGAATATTATTTATTGTATGTAAGTGGCAGAGAATGTTGGGTAGTGTTTCTTTTCTTAACTAATTCTTAGTAATATTCAGCCCTTCCAAATATATAGGGTCTTATTTATTTTGACCTGCAGTTATATAGAAGTTGTAGAAATGAGAAAGAAAACTTGCTTAGATTTTTTTTTTAACCTTGCCCACTTGTTAAGGAGTCTCCTTGCTCTGTTTTGAATGGGACAAAAATTGCCATCACTCACATGACACAGAAATTGTCAACACAAATCTTAAAGTTTTCATGACTAAGGGATATGAAGCTTCAAATATCTTCATTAGGGATATGAATAAAACATATAGAATGATACGCATTTTAAAAAATAATATCTGCTTTGCAATACTTCCTTCTCTTACTAGAGTTTGTGCTTTGGCTAGCAGACAGATACTTAAAGGAACACTGATGCATTTTTTCAGGTGTGAGTTTGCACTGTGGAATTTAAGTAGTTTAAGACTCTGCATACAGAATCTACTGTATGCAGCCACTTCATTTGCATTGCTACTGTTTTTTCTTCACTTAATTCCTTCACTTTAAAAAGCAGTTGTTATTTGTCGTAAAAGACCACATCCTTATGGTGCATAAATCAGCATAGTTTAATTTAATGGAATTATTTACATAAAGATTTAGCCTGTTGATTTTAATATGCAATATTAATAGGAAAAGCTCTGATTGATTGTTTTCTTTTCTTTGTTTACCAGTTACTCTATATAATTTCATGTAAGATTTTGGTGTGTAAAATAATAATGTAAGAAAAAGGATAATGATTTTCTAGAAATGCTAATATCTAAGGAAATGAAATTGTGGGAGGTGACAGAATCATAAATTGAGAAGGAAGACAAAGGAACTAGGGTTTCAGAAAAGGATGTGAAGCAACATCACATTGGGCAATGTTGAAAAAGTGGTGACAGACAAAGTACACATATGAAATATGTGAGATAGTGGGAAGGTCAGGATCACAGGACAAACCTGGAGTTTTTAGATGCTACAGCACTTATACCCAGACTTGTAGGTTATCTTCATTGTAGTCTTTATAAAGTACAAAAAAGTTTTTGCCTTTGTCTTTTTTTGTACTGACATCAGGAGATCTCATTGAATCATGACTGCTTGTCTTCCACACCACTTAAGATATAGCAAAGTGAAAATGTTTGCACATCTGCTGGAGACAGAAATTTATTTCATGCTTGTTTAATTTCTTTTACACACTAATAGATAATGCAGAATTTTAAAAAAGCAAATATACCTGGGTCTAAAAACATATTTAGAAAGTTGTGTGGTTTCTTGTTATGCCTTTCATATTTTTGATACTATTTTTTTTAAATTAAAATTTATAGTACATTTTCACTGTTATACTTTATTTTAATAGAGCACCAGCTAAAAGCATGATTATTCAACATATCTTTCATGGTTTGTTTGTGTCTTTTTGTTTGTTTGTTTGTGCTTTTTATTATTTTTATTTGAGAGCTCTAACACATTTTTAAACTTGTGGCAATTTGTGGGTCTTGTAGCTTGAACTTTATTCTAACCAGATTCTGTTTCTAAAACACAAAGAACATACCTGCAATTAAAATTGATTGCCTTTTTATTTTGTTGATTATTTCTCAGGGTGTGGGTTATGTCATGGAAAAGCGGGAAGAATTTCTAGGAGAGATTAAGCGTCTGTGATGTTCACACGGGTCTTGTATAAAGCATGTAATGGAATTCAGATTGGCTGCAGATCTACATTTTGTCTTTATATCTTGTAGACAGATTTTCCCATTGTTCTTTTTGTATACATTTTTGTCTCAGTTGCCATACTTGCTTACATGTTCTGGCAAGGGATGAAGGAAGGTGGTTTACTTCCAAGAAAAAGTTTTCTCTAGCAGTTTCTTAACTGCACTCTACGTTTTCTTGACATCTGATTTTTGTATGTTCCTTTTCTTATTTTTATATTTTCAGACTGTGAAGGTGGTTGTTTTTAGGGCTAGTATGGATTCTTGATTTTACACAGTAGCTCAGGGGTGGCTAGTCAAGTACCTTAACCAGCTAGACAAACATACTGAGATTTATAAAGAGAAATAAGGAATAAGTATGCTAGAATGTGCATACTGACTATAGTTGGAAGAAACATTTTTAAATTTAATTTTTAAGGATACACATACAATATATCCTTCCAGCCAGCCCTTCTAGATTTTTTGCATCCCAAATGTCTATTGGGATGCAAGTGATAGGAGAGAATGAAAAGAGCTCTTCTAGTACTTCTTGGTTGTTGCAGAATTGAAACTTGAATTTTAAAGAAAAATATCTAGACCTTAAAGTCATCAAGAAAACTTACCAAATATAAAGGAAGTGTGGTTTCTCTGATTTATGCAGATGCACTGAGGTGTTTTATTTCACATAATCCTTGTAAGATGTTGTACCCGAACTCATCTGGTGACCAGTGTTATTTCACATGACTTTAATAATAATAGTTATGTCACCTAATTCACCATCCTTTAGCATCATTCTGTGTATAGTCCAGCGCTTTGTTCAGATTCATATACTCTAAATCCACCACACTTTTTTGTTCTGCGGCTACCCCTCCCATTTATCTTTGTGGAAAGGGAAGAATATTCACAATTCCATGACATTTACTGATGAACCTTAAAATCATTTAAATTCAGAAGCTCTGTCTTAGTGACCGGGTTTCTGCTCTTTCTCCTAGGATACTCTTTTACAATCTCACAGAGCTTTCACTCTGTGGAATTTTTTATAATGTTTTCCCCAGATTTCTCTAAAAGTAAATCTCTTTGGCTTGGCTTTCCTAGTACCTGAGAATTCCATATGAGCTGCCAGGGAGGAGAAAAGGATTGAGGGGACAGGGGGCAGCAACTCATTTTCAAGAAGAGTAAGGTTAAAATTCCACTTCTCTGTTTTTCTCTCCTTACTAAGATGCCTGATTTTACTTATCAGGCTCCTATAAAACCTTGATTCACTCTGGGCAATGATAAGTCACAAGAATCATGCTGCTGAAAGGAATAGGCTACTGAATTGAATTTATACTTTTATGAACATCTTTTTTCCTATGCATTTTTGCTGTCCTGCCAGACTTGCCTCACACAGGATAAATTCCTTTGAACTTGTGAGGCCCATGGTAAAGTTATAGGCCGAATCATTGTGTATAATCTTTAAGTTTCCTTTTAACTTCTTCAACAGCAGGGCAATCATTCTTAAGACAGGGTACATTAAATTATAAGAAACTTGAAGTTGTGAGTATAAAAAGTCTGAATCTTAATTCTCTTCCAGATTTTATAGGTTTCTGAGCTGTTATATCATAGTCATTCACACCTCTTATATTTCAAGTGCAACTATGAATTGAAAATTAAATTAATGATCTTACCATTTATTCCCCCATTACAGATTGACCAACTGAAACAAGAACTCTCAAAGAAAGAATCAGAACTTCTTGCCTTACAAACTAAGCTTGAAACCCTTAGCAATCAAAATTCAGATTGCAAGCAACACATTGAAGTGCTTAAAGAGTCACTTACTGCCAAAGAACAGAGAGCTGCCATACTTCAAACGGAGGTATCGTATCTTCTAATCATACAATGCAATAGAAATATTTTCTTAGTAGCATGTGTCAAGGTGATGATGTGTATGTTACAAGTCTGTGTAAAAGGCAATTTGTTAAAGAATAGTGAAATAATTTAAAACTCTTTCAATGCCAATATATTCAGTATATATTTTTTAGTAGTACACCTCATTCTAGATTTTTTTTAGAAGCACCTATGACTGAATTTTAAGAAAATGTTTCTGCCTAATTCTCATTGGCTTCAATGGGGGGAGCTGGGCCTTAATGACTTGATTGTTGTGATTTCATTCCTTGTTTCTTCATCTATTTGTTGACTGAATTTTCCTTTTTCGTTCTTCTGGCTTGATGATTCTTTTCTACTATGTATTTCTGTTCTGAAGAGTGAAGCTACTATTTTGTATTTTGAAGGGATCTGTTGGAGGGTGCATGATATTAATCTGTGGCTTAATTGTTTTAAGTGCAATCAACACTTTAAAATATTAATAACTCCAGTTTTTGAAACAGGCCAGTGCATTAGTTATGTATGTATCTACAAATTCAGATCATAAAAATATGGGTGGTGGAATATATGGTTGAGATGGTTGTCACATTTGAAGGAATATGTAAATCCAGTGTTAAAAATGTCCATTGGTTCATTTCCTGGTGTTTTAAAAAGTTCATGGACTTGGAGCACACAGTACTGATTAGATTGTTTCCTATTATAACTTCTTCACTTTATTTTTAATGTGTGTACCCCTTTCAAGAATCAGAAATACCTGTGAATTTCAGTCGTACAGTACAAATAGTTTGTATTCAGAGAAGTATATTATTTAATGTATACAGGAATCTTACAGAATATTTCAAATTTCTAGCTAATAAGGCTGTAGGAGAGAAAGCAGCTTAAACTCATCATTCTCATGGAAGCAGGAAATAAATATTTCTAAGATTCTGATGATCCCTCTGTTCTGTGTGTCTTATCCTCTGTACATTAAGAAGATACAGATGAAATCTTGGAATTTGCAGCTTGTGTTTAATGGGCCAGCCAGCATATGTATATAATGCAAAATAATCATAATAGAACAAGGATAAAAACTCCAGCAATTTTGGCAGATCTTATTCTAGCTTTCGAGTAGTAAAGATCACATGTTCTAAACCTTTGTGTGTGCAAATTTGTTTTGCAAGGTTTGTATTACCTGTCATGCTACTGAGGGTGGTGATGAATTCCATTAGCTCTCCAGTAATTTGATTTCCTAATTCATTATCAGACCGATATGTATTCAAGGCATTACAGCCTTATGGCTGGCAGATGGGCAGTGGTAAAAAGAACTGAATCTACAGTGCTCTTGATGCTGGGCTACTGGGATTGTGCAGTCTTGGAGGACAACCAGTTGGTTTCTGACATGTTCAATTCCTTCTTGTCCCAGTTTCTACATAAGGCAGTTGAGCTTGAACCTTTAACATGAGGCAATTTAAGTTAAAATTGGATGTATTTGTCTGTTGGTGTGCAGGTGACAATCAGTTGTATAGTGTCTGCTTATTGTTAGTCTCTCAGGGAAAACAAATGAAAAATTAATGTTAAAATGGTCAGAAAGGTAGCTTGATAGAAGGAATGCTCTACAATAGAGAATGAATCCCTTTTGTTTGGCCTAATATCATGCTATTTGTGATATTTCATACAAATAATGAGATTCTTCCAGCTTTCAGTGAAAAAAATATATCCGTTTAGGTATAGGATTAATGAAACATATGTTCAATATAATTTCTATTCAGTGGAAGAGATAAATTCCTGGTCTTGATTATTTATTTTAATTAACCCTTCACTTCCATATAATCTAAAACATCATGATGACAAGCCTTGGTTTGTTTCTGAGTGAAATAACACTGTAAACTAGATGGGTCATTGCAGGTATGAGACTTAAAAATGAATCAAAACAACTCATAAATGACCTTGCAGTGTATCCTGGTTCTAGACAGTTAAGGCTTCTTCTGCATGGACTTGCTAAATCAATTGAGCCTGAATTTTTTTGTCAATGAATCTTCAGAAACTGTGGTTTTTATTTCATATTCAGCCTTCAGTAATTATATTAACTCAGAAATTGATGAAGCTCTGAAACACTGCAAACTATTTTATATTCCCCATAGAAATCTAGGTGATTTCCATTTTCTGCTTTGAGTAGGGTGTAGGTCATGATTTTATCATATAACAGTTTTTTGAGTTTCTTTATCGTTTTAAGATACCTTTGTAAAGGGAACTGTAGAAAGTTGGTAGATAATGTCTACCTCTATTGGAAGTAATTTTAGTTAAAATTTTCTGTAATTGTTCATGTACAGGAGGCTTTTGGCAGAATGGTTGCATTAATGTAACTTTTTTCCAGACATCATATGGAAATAAATGTCTCTGGGTATTGGGTTAATACCAGACTTCATTTTGGGATGTGATACATCTCAAGATACATTAGAAGCAACACAAAGAAAACAAGTTCCAATTCCAGTTATACACATGTATTGATGCAGCCATTATTTGAAATGGTTTACCAAATAGTTTTGATCTAATAGGAGATTTAAAATGGGAAGTAACTTCACTTGCCTTGAAATTTCTTTTATTTACTTTGGAAAAGATAGCTCTATAGGATGTGCTCTTATATGCACCATTTACCTATGAGGCAGAGACTTTAAATAACTCGTGTTAAGCTTTAAATTATGTCGGCAATTCACCTGATCTCAAAATACTGTAATAATGTGCACAATTTGGACATATTAATTGCATCTAATTTTTTATCCATTTAAGATGCAATGAATGTTTTATTACTTTCCTGTACTTTATGGTGGAGATGCAGCACATCTCAAATCTGCTATAAAAGATCTTTTATGTTATGTAGGTAGAAATAAAGCACACTGTGTACCCATTAGTTTCTCAAGCCAGGATTTACCAGGAAAGAACTGTACTTTGGTTTTTATTTTAAAGTGTCAGGGTTGCTGTAGCCATGTCACAGGCTGTACAACTTTCCATCTAGATGATTAGATATTCAGGGCTCAGAAATGAAGATCAGTTTCTGGAGTTAGATAATATCAAGGGTCACAAAAGATATGTGGTTAATCTGAACATACTTTGTACCTCTTTTGAATAGACTTTGAATCAAGAACTCCTTAAAACTACTGACCTATCCAGTCTTTCTCCTGGAGTAAAGTCTTATAGCAGCTTTCAGCTAGCCATAAGAAATACTCTCATATAACCAAACACAGGATTTGTCTAAATTGCGGTGTAACTATGTGAGCCTGTTACTTGCTTTCTCTAACAGTCATGAAAAAAAGTGACAGATCTACTGTGTCCAAGCAATTTCACCCTTTAGAAAATAAGGTTCTTCAAGGCTGACATGCATGTTCTAATGATGTTCTATTGGTACATATTATTAAGACTCTCAGTGTCTTGGCACATTCCTTACCACCCTGCTGTATGCTAGAGAATTTTTTGGGTTAAAAATGATTGTCAGGATGTCTCTTCTCCACAAACGATAATGTTACAATTTCCAGACAGGGTTTGCAGTTTACTGGGGAGGGAGTCTGATAAGCTGTGGGTGTTCTGGAGAAATGTGATGGAGCTCCAAGGAACACAAAAACTGGACAGCAGCTGAATTCGTAGATTGCTACATCTACTCCTTTAGGCCAAGGTCCTTGTTTCTTATCAATATATAGACAAAGCCAGAAGGAATACATCCTTAACGTAAGCGAAAAGAAGGCACCTCAATAAAAATTAATTGCTGAGGCTATAGACTACTCTCATTGGACGCTGTAAGTTTGAGTGTTATTAGAGCTGATCTTGTTCTTAGTCTTAGCTATTAGATGGTTGAAAGCAGGCTATTTGTGCTGCTTGCAGTTTTTCTTATTCAGGTTGGAAACACCTAATTTTTTCTTATATTTATTTTGCCTGCTTATTTGCCCTTAATATATTTTGATTGACCAGGGGGCCAATATGTGGCAATAAGAATTAAGTAATTTTTTTGTTTGTTTCATTGTATGCTTCATTGTATGCTTCAATTGACAAATTCATGCCTTCAGGCTGCATTCTCCTGTTACATCCTGTACAAGCTAAATATGATGCAACAAGACAGAAAAATTAAAAATTATGCCTTTGATTAAAATTTTCCTGAACTCCCTTTATACCTACTCTTAGTTTTATGGAGAGACTTTTTGGTAATCACTTTGCAAATATCAACTTCATATAACTCAACAATGTCTGTCTTCAGTACTCAGAAATATCCTGTTTTTCAAAAGGTCATTTTACTTATCACCTTAATCTTTAGTTTGGAGAACTCTGGGGGAGTAGAGGGAATGTTTATATCTCATATGAATCTTTGCTGAAAATGTTACATTTCATTATGTGTGAGAGAGTCATTGTGGGATAATTCCAAGTATCAGTAGAGGCCATTGATGTTTTGTTTCTGGTGTAGATATTAGGCTGTGTTAAATTAAATAACAAAACAACAGATAATCAAAAGTTCCACTAATGAAGCTCATACATTTCCTGCAGAAAGTTCAATCCCTGCAACAAGAGACCCATGAAAAGATAGAGAGGCTTTCTATGCCCTAAAACCAGGATCCTTCTTACCAAATACCTGAAAATGAGCAAGTGTCATTTACGTGGTGATCAAGCATGTGGCCTGCCAGTGTAGATGGATGAGGAATAAAAATGCTGCTTTGCTAGCTTTGCTCTGAGACCTGGGTTTTAAGCTGAATAAGCTAATGCCTAGACTGTGCTGTGGTAGCAATCCAGCAATGATTCTAGACATAGCAGGTTTTGTTTTCTGCAACCAGGAATTGGGAAAAGATTTTGTTTGCCTAAAGCAACTGAATCTTCTATCTCCAGGCCTCAGGTCTTATCTAAGGGGAGGGCAATAGCTTCCAGCAGCAGCTGCAGGAAGATGCAGGGCAAATGGCAGCCCTCCAGCAGGTGGAAATCATTATGGAAAGAACTTTGTACTGTACAAGCTATTATTGGTTGTTCCCAGATGACTAA